ATCTCTTACAATTAAAGAGATATAAGTCATTATCTTCACCCATATATTATAACTATAACACCTCTTATAAAACCCCATAGTATTTTTAACTCATCATCTATATGATTGTTCTCCCTAACATAGACACCATTATTTTCTACCTTCCAACCTTCACACCAAGATTTAATATGGAATCTATAACCATTTCAGAGTGAGTAGTGCTCCCATCCAAACTTGTTGTTGAGCAGCACGTAATAACTCATTGAATTCTTATGCTTCCCATTTGGTGACTATTCCATATATTCTCTAAATTTTTGGGTAGTTGAATCATAAATCATATCTTCATACTACCTAATATTTTCTTCCTCAATTATCTTAAAACTTGTTGATGGACCACATTGAGAGTCAAAATGTAGCTAGTACTCGCCATTTTAAGTCCAAAACTAATATTTTAGCATAATCCTCTACAATATTAATAAAATATAATCTCAACTGGTGTAAGGTATGCTTGATTTTTGTTCTTTTAACAAGGATAACAAAAACACCATTTAAATATAAAAAAGGTAGTTGGTAGGCCACCTGAATTAAAAAATTAACTCCCTTAATGAATTCATCTGTTAATGTCTTTTATCCATGCAACAATCGATTACAGAACCAATTCCTTTCACATTGAATTTCCATATTAATGTGATATAAAAAAATTCTATACATGAATAATCCTAGAAAAATATTAGGAAGATATTTTCCACAAATCATTTTCATAATATTTTAAAGGATTTATAACAACGACTTGTGTATGTGATGGTTTTGATCATGAACTTTTGTAAGAATATAACTAAATAGTTATTTATTCCAAAAATTAATAGTTGACATCCAATAATCACATCTTAAGGAAGAAAAAAATTAGGACTAAAAAATTATCTATGAAAACCATAAAAATAATTGGTGTTAAGAAATTCAGAGCCAAATTTGGAACTCTAACATCAAGAGCTTTGGAAATACTAAGGTTTGGAAGAATAGAGAGGTTTGAAGCAAGCGAATACGTATCAATTTCTAAAGAAGAAAAAATACAAATGAACTTCTGTTAAAGTTTGCCAAATTGGACAACCATTTAATACAATCAATTCAATTGGAGGAGCTTCTACACAATTTCTTGTCTTGGAAAAAAATCATAAATACTTTCCCTTATGTTATAATGTGAACCAATCAACAATATAAGCTAAATTCATTTTAGATTTCTAGCTTGTTTTACCCCTCTTAAAAACTTTTCACTATTAAAATCAAGATGAGTTCGTAGAAGATGCAAATAAAGATCCTTACAGCAAGTGAACGCTAGCATGAATGTGGCTGGGAATGTAGGCTCGAATGCGGCCTTGACTAGAGACTCAAATGCAGCCGAGAATGAAAATTGAGAATGACAAATAACGCGCTTGAGATGGGAGGGCAGAGGCGACAGCTGCATGAATTTGATGGAGGAAAGAGTTCTAAGTGCGTAAAAGATTCATGGAACAATTGTTCAGGTGAAAATGGTAGAGGTAGAGATGAGAGGCAAAAATATGGCCCATTTTAGCAAACTTTATGGCAGAATTTTAACTGTAAATTTTGCCAGATATTACCAGTTTTGTACCGTCCAATTTTCCACTAGTTCTTCCAACGAACCACAATACGCCAAAAATTCTGCCATAACTTTTCCAATGTATTTCATGGTAATGTTGTAAGTTATAGGGTAGAAATTGTTAAAGTGTTGATTGACAAGAATATAGCCGAGGGTTGCATTCTGATAAAAATTTTCCAATGTATTTGGTCTTTACTTATTATTGTTGTTATGTCTGGTAATTTTTTTCCCACCCTACTAATGCTTATGAAGGCCAAATGCTATAGTGATGATGTTGATAATCGAAGCAAAGTTATGGACCCTTGCACAGAAATTTGTGATGTAGTGTGTGAACATTCAGGTTTCAAAATTAAAAAAAAAATACGGCCTACTGTAGCGGTTTTAACAGGCACAAAGTACCAGATTTGTGCCGGTTAAAACCGCCACAATGATTAAAATAGGTTCACATAAATGGATTTTGCATCGGTTTTAACCGGCACAAATCTGGTGCTTTGTCTCGGTTTAAACCGCCGCTAAAAAAAGCGATTCTCAAATGCTACCCCGCCGGTCGTAAAACCGCTACTGAATGTCACTGCAGCGTATAGTAATTACAGCATATAAGTAGCGGTTTTCGAACCGCTGCAAAGTAAATTGTAGGGGTTAAAACTGCCACGAAAGGTCAATATTTGTGTTGCGATTACCTTATTTTTTTGGTAGTGACTAGCCATTTTTCCATTAGTGAATTTGATGGAGGCTTATTCTCATTAATCTCTCTTGAGTAGGCATTTTATAATTGTAACTTCCTCTTCTTAGCCCACCTTTCTTTTTAATGAATAATCAGGATCGACTCCTCATTGTCTTGGTACCAAGTCTCTTCAGCAGCTAAAGAAGAAGTCAATGTTTTAGCTCTAGAACATCTTCTTCTCCTCACATTAGATAAAGAGGACAACAATAGCAACTCAACTCTAGGAGTTGTTCTTGAAATTCACTCCATGGAAACCAAAAGCGTTCTTATTATCCATTCTTCAAATTCAACAAACTATCGTATAGTAATGAATTCTTTGTTCTTCTCTATATTCATATGTTCTTCACCATATCTATGATGCTACTCTACTTCATAAAGCACTTCTCTTCTAGTTAATGGCATGATTCATGTTCTTTGTATCTTTTAGGATGTTGAATTCTAAATTATCTATGCATCACATCAAAATATAATGATAATATAGAGTAAACAAAAGAAAAAAGTAGATATATTAGTAGAGAGAGAGAAAGAGAGAAAATTCTAGAGTGAGATATTTTGTGTTTTCTATAAAACAATCTTGAGTATAAAAATTATGTAGATTTAGCTCAACTCTTAACCACATAATTATAGATTTGGATTGGAGGTTCAACATTAAGAATTAGCTACAAAAATAACTAAATAAAAAAATTTAGAGAAAAATATAAATATTGTGTAGTCTAATTAGAATGTTCGACTTGAAGAAGTTGCCTGTCAAACTAATAAGAAGTCCATACCTTGGTCTGTATAAGTCGACCAACAACAAAATAGCTTATCAATAGTTTTTCATACGAAGGAAGTCATCAACTTGAGTAGTCATTTGAGCCAACTACATAGATATTTTGTATTTGTTAGGTCCAACTTGATAAGCAACACATTTCCACATGGAACAAGTATATAAATCCTTATCGCCTGTTTTAGGTGGCTTCATTTGTATGCTAGCATGTTTCTTTTGAATCGGGATCGAGTTGACTAAGGCAAGTTAAATTGAACCAGGCCAATTTGGTTTAAATATGATTTTTGGATATTTGGCTGCACATGCACTAGTTGAAATATAAATAACTTCCCCTTCTTGAAATTCCCCTGACAGTATTTTATTTTGAAAAAAAATCAGGATATCTTGAACAAATGTTTTGTCGCTTTAAAATTTTTTTATCTGTTTTAAAATTAGTATAATATAAACCATTTATATATTATACAACAACAACAACATCAAGCTTTTATCCCACTACGTGGGGTCGGCTACATGAATCCTTTTTCTCCATTATGTCCTATTAAAAGTCAAATTCTCGTTTAAATCTAATAAAGAAAGGTCATTTCTAATATTTTTTAACCAAATCTTTTTAGGTCTTCCCCTACCTTTCTTAAGACAAGTGACATCTAATACCTCTACTCTCCTAACTGGGTCATCAGAGGCCGCCTTTTTATGTGACCAAACCATTTAAGGCGACTCTCTCTAATCTTATCTTCTACTGGAGCTATTACAACCTTTTCACGTATATGCTCATTTCGTATCCTATCTCTAAAGGTAAAGCCACTCATCCACTTGATCATCCTCATCTCTGCCACACTTAACTTAGTATTATGCTTCTCTTTTAATGGCCAACATTCGGCACCATAAATTACAGGCCTCACTACCCTCTTATAGAATTTCCCCTTAAATTTTTTTCAACAACAACATCAAGCATTGCATGCCTCGCTACATAATACAAAATTTTTTTTTCTTCTGTTGTACCTGAAGATTAGTTTTTTTTATATAAAACAAAATTTTGATCACGTTAGCATTAGGTGATTGGTTGAACCGGGCACTACCAGCCCACCGCACACGTCTAGTAAGTAGTACTCCATCCTGTACCCTACATTTCTTTTAAAAGGTTTATTAACCATTTTTTCTATGGTACATTTTTTTTGGGGATTATCATACATTATTATTAATATTTTAAGTGACAATTATTATTTTATTTGTGTTAATTTTCGTGCATAAAATTATTTAGAATAAAGTTTTTTTATAAAAATATTTCGAAGTGTCGGAATAAAAACTGACATGGATCAATGAATTTTTCTCTTTAAAGAAACCAAGACTCGAGATCCACCAAAAAATAAAATATTTACGTGAAAATTTATTTGAATAAAAATTAATTACACTTTTTATTTACGATAATACGAAAAAAAAATCATATAAAAATTATAAAATAATACCATGCATGAAATTTAGATCTAAACACAAATAATTTGTAAAAAATATGATAACAAAAATAAATAAATAAATAAACAATTACTTAAAAAACGGTTAATATGTGTAAAAAAAATACTGCTGCCTTTCCCTAATCAGAGGAAGCAAATAAATACCCGATTTTCACCATTAAATTGACAGGAAAAATAATTTTAAAGACAATTATAGAGTTGAATGATATGATTGTACATTATCAATCGCTATAAATCAAAAGAAATTTGCGGTTTAGCATTTGTTTTTACTAAATTTCTACATTTAATCTTCTTATTCCTTATTTTTTGATATTATATGTTGATCCGATTTCATTACATTAAGCAATCCAAAAATCTCATAAATCCTTTACCAATTACATCCGACATCTTTTTTTACTTGAAAAGAAGAAATCAGGCAACAAAGCAATTCAATCACTCACTAAATTACAATATAAACTCAGCATCCTCAGTTCTCAGCTCCGGTATAGCCACGAGCTTAGGCCGCCAGGCCGGCCTCAGCAATCGATACCGCAACCCCGCCAATCCAACCCGCCGGCCAATTACTACACCTCGATGACCCGACCCACCCAGCCCATCCATCGCAATCCTCTTCCAGCGACCGCTATCGCCGACGCCGCCGCCGCCGAGCACTTCTGGAGAAGGCGGCGGTGATTTCACGAACAGGTCCTTGAGCGAGTTCCCGGCAATCAAGGGCTTCTTCTCCTTGGCTGCCTGCTTCAATCTGGAGAGATCCGCGTGGCGGCGGCGTCGTCGAGAAGAGAATGGGCTTCTCAAAATCCTTCTGAGAGTCTTGCGCCGCCGAAAGCTGAGGAACGGCGAGGCGGCGGTGCATTGAAGCGCAAGAGTCTTCAGCTTCTGCAACGCTTCCATCTTTTTCTTTAGCGGGGGGCATGAGAGGAATGGCTTTACTTTTCTTTAATGAGACGGACGGCAAGTAACATGGTGTGAGGAGTCCGCTTGCCTGTGTGATTTATGTTCGTTTAGACGCAAGGATAACTTACCGCGGGGCTTTTAATTAATATAATGATTGATACGTTCTTTTGTCATGATGAAACCTTGAGCCACTTAAAGCCACGTGGAAAGTAGGAGGTGGGCATCGTCATCTTGGTGAGGACACTCATTGTGATCTATTAATTTTATTAATTTTTTGGCAGGGAGTTAAGGGTATCAAGCCTAGGGGTCTTAAGGCATAGACAAATTATTATGTGCGGTCATTATTTAGAGATAAATCAGGACGCACAGTGTCATTATTTTGCTATATACCTCTGTGTACTGGGTGATGTGGCACATCAAAATTCACTTCCGGACGATCCGATGACCACACCAAATAATTTCTCTTCTCTATCCTCTATACCAATATTTTCAACTCTATGGGTAATATCTTTTTCTTCATCATCATTAATTTTCCTAGCTTTATAAACCTTATAAAATTCATCAAATATAGCATTGGTGGATTCCGCAACAAGTAAATTTCTTTTATTAAATATTTTATAAGGCTTACTTTTTGAGGAATAACATAAATAACACTACTTTGACCTTCGCATAAAATTTTTCTAAATAAGATTTTCTATTATTTAAAATAAAAAACTTACACCCAAACACATATTAATGAGAAAAAATAGATTTTATACTCTTAAGCAACTCATAAGGTGTCTTATTCAACTTAGATCTTATGTTCACCCTACTAAGAATATAGCAAGTAATATTCACTACCTCTTTCTAAATGTACATGGGTAGATTATATTCACTAAGCATTGCCCTAGTAGTTCTACTAATCTCCTTTTTTTTCTTTAGGCTATACCATTTTATTGCAATGTTCTAAGGGCCAAGTTGTTATGTTCTATTTCAGATTCCTAATAAAATCATTTAAATCTCATCCTAAATTCTCGTCCGAAATTACTATGGAATGTAGAAATTAAATATCCTATTTTCTTTGAATCCAAACTAAGAATGTTTTATAATCCTTAAAAGAATCAATTATATTTTCAAGAAATATAACGCAAGTGAGAACAATCATTAATGATTACAAATCCAAAAGAATTTTCTCCTAGACAAACTAAATTAATAGGTCCAAATAAATCCATATGAATACCTCCTAACAGTCTAGTGGATACTACATACATAATGGAATGAAATGAAGATTTAGTTTGTTTCCCTAATTAGCATGAATCACAATGAATTTTTTTTTAAAAATATAACTTAGGAATGCCTCAAACTAACTTTAGCTAGGTGATCTTTCTAAGAGTATTCATACTTGCATGGCATAATCCCCTATTCCACAACCATTGTTCAATCAATAGTGGAATTAAAAAAAATATCATTAGATTTATTAATACAACTTAGATCAATCATGTAAACATTAATAGTTCTTAACAATTCTAATAAAATTTACCATTTAAAGCTTTGTGCAGAAAGAAATTTTATATTGAATTTTAAATAAAAATTTTAATAATCCTCTTCCAGGCCGCTGGAAATTATTTCTAGTCATTTACTCAATTAATTCATAAGCTTAATCAACAATCTTAAACATTAAAGTTCCTCCAGTTATTGTATCAATAATCAACCTAAGGGATCCTACTAGTTCATTGTAAAAAATTTGAATAACCAACTAATCAGGTAAAAAATGGTAATGGCATTACCTAAGTATTTTATTAAATAACTCTCAACTTTTATAAATTAACTCTCCTTCTAACTCAGTAAAAATGTGATATCATTCCTAAGTTTGGCAGTTTTGGAAGGTGGGAAATACTTACTTAGGAATTTGTGTGCCAACTCATTCCAAGAGTTTATAGACCCTAGGGGGAAAGAATTCAATGACAACTTAACTTTGTCCCTTAGAGAAAATGGAAATAAATGAAGCCTAATAATATCATCACTGACACAATTATACTTGAATGTTTCATAGATATCTAAGAAGCTAGCTATGTGTTGGTTGGGATCCTTAATAGGAGTTCCCCCAAATTAGGAATTTTGAACCATCTAAATTATGGTGGGTTTCAGCTTAAAGTTATTAGCCTGGATAGTAGGTCTATTGATACCCTGGTGGATTCCATCTTTAATAGAATTGTCATGCTCCTAAGAGGTTATCGAAGGTCTTGATCTTTCACTGGTTTAGTAGTATTTAAGGCTAAAATCTTTTTTTTTTTTGGCATTTTTATAAGGTTCCTTTCAATTTCAAAATAAAACAACAAAGGAACCTTACTAGATCTATAACACATGGAACAATAATTGACTAAAAAGTAAAGAACGAAACTAACAAATTTTTTTAAAAAAAAAAATTAATAAAAATGACAAAATAAAGATATAAAATATAAGTAGGTTTAAATTACAACTAGTTAACAATATAGTTTAAATTTCTAATATGCATGTTATTTTCATAGCAATGGCACAAAAATTTGATGTAGGGCTCGATTAGTTAAATGCAGGTATGACATATAATATGCCTATAACTTATGCTTCTCTTTGATATAGATTGCCCATAAGATATACAAGTATACATGTTGATCAAATAATAAAGTGATTGAGAGAGTGTCAATTCCATGAGGAAGTGTTATGCTAGATTGATACCCTAGTACATTCCATCTGAGAACTTGTTTACTAATTTTTCCAACCACTACAAGTTATCATGCCAACTAAAAGTTAGCTAGTAAAAGTAAGTATATATTAAAATTTCTTTTTGGATTTTTTATTTTTACAAATATATAAAATTTCTAAACTAATAATGTCTTTATTTTATGCAAAATAAAAAAATACAGATTATAGCAAGTTAGAGTTCATCAGAGCAATTGTAATCCGTCGCCTCTGTTGAGTTTATCCATATTCTAATAATAGTTGAATTTCAAAACATCTCCTTAAGATCTAAAATACTCAATTAGCCGATGTCCAGGTCTAATTAACACATTTTCAAATTTCCATGATTTATTTTATTATGCCTCCTTCTTGGTCATAGATCACACTTAAATTTAGAAAGAGAGTAACAAACTACATAATTAGATTAAACATGGAAAAATATGAAATATAACATAGCTTCTCAACACAAGTAATATATTCTTTGAACATACATAAAAATCAATAAACTAATAGTTAATAAAAGTCTAATTTCATTACCAAGGCTTTAAATATAAAGGTACACTAGTTTGCTACACATGAAAATTAGAAAACAAGAATAAAAATTAGAGGGATGGAACCAATATATCGATGTGGAGACTACTAGAAATTGAATATGGTCATACTTGGTCCCTCTATTACCACTCTCAATGTTACACTTCTCTATCATAAAATCTTAACACAAAATAATGTACACATCTACTATCCACACTCTCCCATAATAATACCCTCCCTTTCATAAGAAATGTGTTGCCTATTTATAGTTTTTCAAAATAACTAAACTAGCTCCATAGTGCTAACCTAAGTGGTACTATGGTACTACTAAACCAATGTGTTAGTTCACCTATCATCACATTGCTTCACAGAATCAACCATCAATTACTGTCAACCACCATGATGACGGTCAATCTTGTGCTATTAAACTCATTCTATGTTGCCTCAAAGACCTTGCTCACTATCTTAGATCCATCAATTTATTACTATGGTAGTATCTATATCACTTCAATATATATGGGTACGGCATTGAAATACTCCTTTAATTGTTATTTTTTATTTTTCTTCTATCATGTACATGCACAAAAAATATAATTTAGATACCATTTTTATAATAATAAGTGTAGTTTGAAGTATATATTTTTTTATAATATCATTCATGAACTATTTGGATTCCATGATCTTGTCGAAAATGCATTTTCCACCTCACTTGTCATTGTGGCATTCATCGTTAGGTATAACACCCTTTGAATTACTAAATCAAAAATCTCTATAAGCTATTAGTGGGTTTTGAAATCTATGTTCTTCATGATAAAAAATTTATCTCCAATTTTATTACTCTACTGTCTTCTCGTTAATAGCATCAATCCATCCTTTAATCATTTAAAATAATATTGAATCTAAATTTTTCTATGGATGACATTTTACAGTACTAATAATACCAATTAATCTATCACATATTAAATAAGGAAAAAGGTACACAAGTAAAAGAGGAACGTTGAGACCTTTTTCCTTGTTATGAGTAATAAACTAGCATAACTCAAAAAATTTTCTCTAAACCCAATATTAATAGGGCGTGGTTTGTCATAAAAAGATTTAAGCCAATACTACAACAACATTAGCAAACATTTATCCTACTACATGGGGTTGGGTACACAAATCCTTTTTCTCTATTCTGTCATATTAAAATTCAAATTCTCATTTCAATATAATAAAGAAAAGTCATTTGTAATATTTTCTATCTAAGTCTTTTTAGGTCTACCTCTACCTTGCTTAACATAAGACAAATCTAATACATCTACTCTCCTAACTAGGTCATCAGATGGCTATCATTTTATTGGACCAAACCATAGAGCGAGACTCTCTCTAATCTTATCATTCACTAGAGCTACTCACACCCTTTCACATATATCTTCATTTATTATCATTTCTCTATGAGTAAAGTCGCTCCTCCATAGGAGCATCCTCATCTCTACAACATTTAACTTAATATGAGTTAAGCCAACAAAAAAATTAATTAATATATGATTTAACCATTATAAGCACATGTAACTGTTATATGCTTAAGCAAAAAATAATATATCAAGGAAATCATTAAGAAATTTGATATCAAAGGATGTATAAGTATAATCACACCCATGAGCCCAGCTACCTAGTAAGATAAGGATCCAAATGAAAAAATTGTTGAAAAGAAAAATTATAGATGAACGGCCGACACATTACTCTAGGTTACCGTAAGTAATCCTGATGTTATATTTACTATTTTTATG